GATCGGTCACTCCACTCCCCGCTGTTTTCGTCGCCTGGACGACCTGTTTCGTCAGCGCTTCGGCCCGTCGCCAGACCTCCCGGACTGGCACAGTTTGCTTAGTCGTAAGATTCAGATTTTTGACATGGACATGGATGCCATTGTTTCTGCTCTGCATGTGATGTATGCTGATGACTCTAGTGTGCTTCCCGCTTATTACTCACTGTCGGCTAGTGTAGGTGTGCCTAGCTTAGCCTCCCCTGCTGCGTCAGGCGTAGGATCCCCTGCTTTGTGTAGTCTTGGTGCTTCCGACGTTGTTCCGTCGCCAGACGCCTCCGCTTCGCTTTCCTTCACCTTGGACTCTGGCGCTTCCCGGTGTTTCTTCCGCGACTCCACCACCCTAACGCCGCTTCCTGTTCCTGCTGCCGTTTCTCTTGCTGACCCCTCCGGCGGTACGGTAGTCGCCCGCAGTTCCACCACCCTTCCCTGTCCGGCGGTTCCTTCAGGCACTCTCACAGGTCTGCATATCCCCTCGTTCTCCAGGAACCTAGTTGGTGTCGGCTGCCTCCAGGACCTTGGCGTCGCCACTACGTTCCCTGGCCACGAGCGGTATGCTGTCTGTACCGAGGCCGCCACTGGTGCCCCCCTGTCCACGTTCCCCCGGGACCCGGTGTCCGGCCTGTTCACTCTGGACACCGTGACCCCCCCGGCTGGAGCGCTCCCTCAGGTGGCTGCGTCTACCCAGGTTGCTGCTGCCTGCTCCTGTCGGTCCCTCACTCACCCGACTCTCCTTTGGCACCACCGCCTAGGTCACCCTGCGCTCCCGCGTCTGCGTCACATGTCCCAGCACAGTCTTGTCCTTGGTCTCCCAGGTTCTCTCCCCGCGTTTCCCTCCTCCCCAGCCCCACCTTGCACGCCTTGCGTCGAGGGTCGGCTTCGCCGTGCCCCTCACTCCTCCTCTTTTCCCCCTACCGCCGCGCCGCTGCAGACCCTGCACCTGGACGTCTGGGGCCCCGGCCCCGTCCCTGGGCCGCGTCGCGAGCGCTACTTCCTTGTGCTTGTCGATGACTTTACTCGTTACCCCCCAGTCTTTCCCCTGGAGCGCAAGGCCGACGTGCCTGGCGCCCTCATCCCCTGGCTTGTCTCTGCGCGTGTCCACCGCGGTCTCCCTGTCTTGCGTTTTCACTCCGACCGTGGTGGCGAGTTTGCCTCCGGTGTCCTTGGTCGCTTTTGTCGTGCGGAGGGCATCACCCAGACGTTCACCCTACCGGACTCCCCACAGCAGAATGGGGTCGCTGAGCAATGCATCGGTTTGGTCATGGAGGTGGCTCGCACCTCCATGATCCATGCCGGTGCACCCCATTTTCTGTGGCCGTTCGCGGTGCGCTACGCTTCTCACCAGCTTAACTTGTGGCCGCACCCTCAGCAGCCGCGGGTTTCGCCGACCCGTCTTTGGACAGGGTCTCCTGGTGACGCGTCTGCGTTTCACGTCTGGGGCTGCCTTGCTCACGTCCGTGCCTCCGGCACGGACAAGCTCACTGCCCGCACCCTTCCCTGCGTCTTCCTCGGTTTTCCCCTTGACGCGTCCGACTGGCACTTTTGCCACCCGCCGTCTCACCGCTTCTTTCACTGCCGCCGCCGCCGCCGCCGTCGCAGCACCCGTTTGCTGACTCTGGGGTTGCTAGTACCGGTAGCCCTGGGGGTGGTTCCTCTGGGGGTGCTGGTGTGGAGTGTGCCGGTGGTAGCCGAGGAGCAGCTTGCAGTCCCGGTGTCGCCGTTGTGCCGCCGGAGCAGCAGTCACCGCCGGTGTCCGCCCTTCGCCTGCTCGGCCTTCCGTCCCCTGACCCTGCGGTTGTTCCTCTCCGCCCGTCTCCTCCTCTTCCCGTCTACGGCCCTGTGTTCCCTCCGCCGGACTCGTCCCCGGCCCGTCTTCCCCCTCGTTCCCCTCCTGTGTCCCCTCCCCTGTCTCCTGACCGGACTCCTCCGTCGCACGTCTGGTCTCACCGTCCCTCCCGTGCTCGTCCTGCCTCCCCCGTCTTGCGCTCCCACCCTATGTTGCTTCGTTCCCACGCGTCTCGTCCTCCCCTTCTGCCGTCGCCTCCTCCGTCCTCCCTTGTTGTTGCACCCCCCCCGCTGTCTGACTACCTTCGTGCCGCTCGTCCTCTTGTTCCCCGGGTCCTTGCCTCTCTCGTTACCGACCCGTCTGTTCCGGTCTCGTGCCTTGACGCTCTTGTAGCTGCGGTCGCTGACTTCGCCTCTACCCGTCGCCTTGACTACGCCACCGCTCTGGTCTCTGACCCTGCATATCCTCCGTCTGTCGGGGGTGCTCCTGCCCTTGGCAGTGACGTCCTGGAGGACCGCCAGTTCGAGCTTGCTTTCCTGTCCGAGGCTGCTCCCCATCTCTGTTCCATGCTGCTAGTCCCTGAGGGTGACCCAGACGCTTTCGACATCCCGACCCCTCGCACTTACGCTGAGGCGACCTCGGGACCTTGGGCCTCGCAGTGGATAGCTGCCATGGAGCAGGAGATGGCATCTTGGAGATCCACCGGCACCTTCGTCGACGCAGTTCCCCCGCCTGGGGTGAACGTAGTCGATGGCCGCTGGCTCTTCAAGGTGAAGCGCCCTCCTGGAGAGCCGCCTGTGTTCAAGGCGCGCTACGTGGCTAGAGGCTTCAGTCAGCGTGAGGGGGTGGACTTCTTCCAGACCTTTGCTCCGACCCCGAAGATGACTACTCTTCGGGTTCTGTTACACCTAGCTGCTCAGCGTGACTACGAGCTTCACTCCCTCGACTTTTCCACTGCCATCCTTCAGGGCAGCCTACACGAGCAGGTCTAGTTGCGTCGCCCTCAGGGCTTTACTGGCACCTTCCCTCCTGGGACCCAGTGGCTCCTGCGGCGCCCCGTCTACGGCCTGCGTCAGGCTCCCCGTGAGTGGCACGACACTCTCCGTGCTACGCTTGCTGACCTGCAGTTCTTTCCGTCTTCCGCAGACCCCTCACTCTTCGTTCGTGCTGGCCAAACTCCGTTCTACATCCTTGTTTACGTCGACGACATGGTCTTTGCCACAGCAGACAGGGACGCACTGGCCTCCGTAAAGGCAGAGCTGCTGAAGAGACACACCTGCACTGACCTTGGAGAACTGCGCCGCTACCTTGGCTTGCAGATCTCCAGGGACAGAGCATCGCGCACCATCACCCTGACTCAGTCACACTTGGTGCGCCAGGTCCTTCAGAGGTTCGGCCTTCAGTTCTCCTCTGCACATCCCACCCCTCTGCGTGTAGACCACAGACTCTCCGCTCCAGTGTCTGAGGAGTCGGTAGAGCCCAGCGGCCCCTACGCAGAGCTGGTGGGTTGCCTCATGTACCTGATGACTTGCACTCGCCCAGATCTCGCATACCCTCTCAGCATCCTGGCTCGCTTTGTGGCCACAGGCAGACACCGACCGCAGCACTGGTCTGCCGCTAAGAGGGTTTTGCGTTATCTTGCTAGTACATCGGGCATGGGGTTAGTGCTAGGAGGACGCAGGTCAGTGGTCCTTACTGGACACACAGACGCTTCGTGGGCAGACGACGCCGAGACACTCAGGTCTACCCAGGGCTACTGCTTCAGCCTTGGCTCAGGTGCCGTCTCGTGGAGAGCTACCCGCTCCTCGTCTGTTGCCCAGTCCAGCTGTGAGGCTGAGATCTACGCTGGTGCCATGGCGGCACAGGAGCTCCGCTGGCTGACCTTCTTGCTCACTGACTTAGGTGAGCGGCCTAGCTCTGCCCCGGTCCTGTTCGCTGACAACAGGGCCATGATACTCCTGTGTCAGGAGCCTCGACTCGAGGGCAGAGCGAAGCATATTCAGCTGCGGTACTTCCTCCTGCGTGAGCTACAGCAGCGACGTTAGGCTCGCGTAGTACACTTGGCTTCAGGTGCCAACACAGCTGATATCTTTACGAAGGCGCTTGCGCCTAAAGATCATCAGCGGCACTGTGTACAGCTTGGTCTGGTTCCTGTAGCCTCTCACTTGCTAGGACCTTGACTTTGTACTGTCCTATATATGTATACTCAGACTGGACTTGTGTCCTCTCCCAGTGGCTGGACTAGTAGTGCCGCCCTGGTCTTGTTCTCGCCTTGTCTGTACTCCTTCTGACTGGTCTCTCAGACCCTTGTCTCAGAGGTTGGACTAGTAGTGCCGCCCTGAGCTGCTTGTTTAGGACATTCCCCTATGCAATCTAGGGGGTGTGTCAAACATGTGTATTTGTTATGTTTGCATAGATTGTATAGGGTCATCTCTTAGAGGGTACAATACTTAGGTATATCTATCTGTACTCTCACTCTACCCATTATTCACTTCTCTAAATCTGATAGTATGAATATCCAGTCTAATAAAGCACCCAGATCCGCCCAAACCACCCATGGGTGATTAATTCCGGCGGGTGTTTTATCCAGGAGAATACGGTAGCAATTCAATGCGCTTATAGGGAATATATTTTCTAAAAAAAAGATGCGCTTATAATGAAATACCGGATATAAGTGTTAAATTATATATGTTAGTATATAATTGTAGGCTTGGTAGTGGTTACTGAACATTACTGTAGAGGGTACAACATCCCTTCTTGTATCCCTCTCTCTTCTTTCCTAATCCTCTTTTCTCTCGACATTCTCGCCTACCTCCTAGATCTAGATTTTACGCCATATTCATGGCTCCTATTCCTACCTAGCCTAACTTCACAACAATAAGCGCGTTTGCACTCTATAAGCCCACTGGGCTTAATAAATGGCTGCACCTATATCCGGGTGATCACAGTATATCACAACAACTTAGACTGTACTGTGCTAATAGTGCGATACCTCATATGATTGAATGTGCATGATGATGTCAGCAGTATCGAGTCAACGCGTGAACAGTAGGTTCATGCCTACAGTCTTCTGAAGGGTCACACCACTCTGTCTCACGATTAGTCACTAGTCATGCGGATATACGAGACACACTACAAACAGGATCATTCCGTATAGGTGCTTCCTAGACTATAAATGTGCCTATATTACTAATTATTATTATCATTGTCATTTCGGAAATTTCCAGTAAAGTCTTCCGCTGACTTTCTACTCGTGGTTCCACCAACTAGAGATCCTGACCACCCTATGTCAAACTTATCTAAGTATGTTAGTGTAGACAATATTGGTTTGTGCTGTAGAGGGTACAACACTCTAGGCTATATATCCCTGTACTCTCTCTCTCTAGTCAATTCATTCAGTTGTAAGACCCTAAACACCCCCAATATGCACTACACCCCCATTTCAATATGCACTACACCCCCATGATGGCAGCAACGTTATAAGTACTGTACTCTCTTCCTCCGCGCCAGCTCTCTGTTGCTCCTCCCCCCTCCCTCAGCACCATCACATCAAACCCCTTCCACTGTGCCCTCACTGCTGCTACTCCCCCCGTCCACAGCACCAGCTTCCCCACTTCCTCCCTTGGACGCCTCTTCCTCTCCCGCTGCTGCTGCTGCTGTTGCTGCTGCTGCTCCTTGTTCTGTTTCTTCCAAACCTGTGCGTGCTGCAGGGGCAGAACCAGCAGTGGCATCAGCAGTGGCACCAGCAGCACTAGCAGAGTCAGTTAGAGCCTCAGCAGCAGATACAGCTTCAGTTGAAGAAGCAGCACCAGCAGCACCAGCAGAACTTCTAACGTCAATGCTGCTGCTAGTGGTGCTGGATGTGCTTGCAGCAGCAGAAGCCGTGCCAGTGGTACGGCTTGGGTTGGACGGGAATGAGAGAGGGAGAGAGAGACCTGCTCCATGGACCACTCGACTGAGAGCATAGTGCCTGGTGGAGAGCGATGGGGAGAGGTGGGGAGTGTTGGGACAAGGTGAACGAGGGGAGGATAGCTAGGAAGAAAAACAGAAAGGTACAAAGGTAAGGAGAGAGGCAGAGAGGTGCAGACGGGTGGAGAGCGTGTGTACAAGTGGGTGCATATTTGCGCATACAAAATGTAAGAATTGAGCCCTGGCTGCTTGTTTATCGAAGGAACAGCAAGCTATGTTCAGAACTACTCCCAAGGCACGAGGGCACTCCACAGCACGAGGGCACTCCATGGCATGCGGGCACAGAAAACCGCTTGCCCTCCACCAAGACTTCCATACCTACAGCATCACCCTCTCCCCTATCTGCTGAGGCACCCCGTGGTTCCACCTGCCCAGAAAAAAAAAATCCCCTGCCCGGACCACCGTATTCTGTGAGTATCCGGCCCCCTCCTCCTAAGCGTATGGCGTTTATACGCTCTCGTATAAACGCTTTCGTACAAAACGTGATACGCGTACATTCCAACTTAGCTTTGCACGCTGCTAGAATGACCAAGACGACCGAAGCTAGGAGCTTGCGAATAATCACCTGAGCGCCAGGGTGTTGTACTCTGCCAGGAGGTTCGAGACATCAGCGAGCGAGAGGTCAGCTAGCTACGCCACATCCAGACCCTGCACGCCTCTGTGGGGCCCATGCGCCATGTCCTCATCTGAGCGCCATGTCTTTGTCCCCCCGCCAGGAGGTCCGAGACACAACTATGGCTGTACGCCTCTCGACACCATATCCAGGTCCACTACGCCATATCGTCCTTTCATACCTGAGCGCCAGGTCCTCACCAGAGCGCCAGATCCTCACCAGAGCGCCAGGTCCTCACCTGAGCGCCAGATCCTCACCAGAGCGCCAGATCCTCACCTGAGCGCCAGATCCTCACCAGAGCGCCAGATCCTCACCTGAGCGCCAGATCCTCACCAGAGCGCCAGATCCTCACCTGAGCGCCAGATCCTCACCTGAGCGCCAGATCCTCACCTGAGCGCCAGATCCTCACCAGAGCGCCAGATCCTCACCTGAGCGCCAGATCCTCACCTGAGCGCCAGATCCTCACCTGAGCGCCAGATCCTCACCTGAGCGCCAGATCCTCACCTGAGCGCCAGATCCTCACCTGAGCGCCAGATCCTTGTACTCCGCCAGGAGGTCCGAGACATCTGCGAGCGAGAGGTCAGGCGCAGAAGCGTAGAGGAAGCGGAAAGAGCGGGCGAGCTCGCCACTGGCATCTGCACGCACCAGCTCCCTCAACACGCCCTTATCCCTCGATATCTCCGACAGGGACGCCACCCGCTCCGTGTCCCTGTTGCTGCTGCTGGTACCAGCAGCACCAGCAGCACTGCCAGCGCCACCGCCCCCTGCTGCTGATAACAGCTCCGCTCCTCCTGACCCTCCTGCGGTTCTTGATCCTCCTCCTGCTGCTGCTGCCCTTGCTTCTTCCCCTGCCCCTGTCACCTGCTCACCTAGCTCCCCTCCTCCTCCTCCACTCCTCCCCTTCTCACCTGTTCCACCACCCCCCACTCCCCCCCACTCTCCCCCCCGCTCTCCCCCCTCCAAGCCGCCCACCCCTTCAGTGGCCTTGTACCCGGCCTCCAGTAGCCGCTTAAACTCGTCCTCACTTAGAGAGAGCTGAGCGGCGGAGAGGGATTCGAGGAAGGTGGCGGCGGATGCGAGGTTGGTGAAGAAGTAGGCGGCCTCCGACACAAGGCGGTCGCAGTGGCGGTACCGCTGGATGTAGAGAATGCTGCTCAGCAGCTGGGGGGGGTTCGCCTGACAGTGGGGGGGGAAGGGGGGAGGAGGGGAAGAGGGGAGGCAGGGGGGAGAGGGGAGGGAGTGGGGGACGGGAGGCAGTGGGGGAGGGGAGGGTGGCGGGCAGAGTGGGAATACAGAGGAAAGTGGGGAAGGGGGTGCAGGGGTGTTGGGGAAAATGAGGGAAAGGGAGAAGCGGGAAGAGGGCTTGTAGGCGGCCTCAGACACCAGGCGGTCGCAGTGGCGGCCCAAAAACCCCAACAACCCCCAACTACCTTTCCCCACTGCCACACCCTCCCTATCCCGGTCCCTTCCCCTCTCTCCACCATAACCAACCCAAACCCCCATGCAAACAACCCCCAGTCACCAACCCCCTACCCCTTCCCTTCCTCCCCCGCCCCAACTTCCCCCCTCTGGCTCCTCTCACCTTCACCACCACATAGATCAGCACGGGCAGAAAATCATCAGCTCCGGGCGGCTTTCCGCCACTCCCACCACCCTTCCCTCCTCCCCCTGCCCCCCCGCTCGCGTCAGCGGCAGCAGCAGCAGTGATGGAGGCGTTGAGGAGGATGTTGTTGATGACGCGGCAGCAGTTGAGCACGCACACCAGCTTGTCGCGCGGTGCCTTGAACGACCCCAGCTTCTGCAGATCCTTCTCCGCTAGCTGCGCAGGGGGGGGGAAGGGACAACCGAGAGTGGAGGGGTAGGAAGAGAGAGAAGAAAGGGGAGAGGACGGGAGAAAAGAGGAGAGAGCCCTGAGCCTTGCTCCTAAGCCTAAATAAGCCGCTCCTCTCTCCAGAGTCCTTGTTTAGTTTCCAGTTCATTTCTCATCTACTTGCTGGTGGCGGCTCGTGTCGGCGGCCTCCGGCCGCAGTCGCTTGCGGCGCACCCTGCGGCCGCGCGTTTGGGGACGGCAAAGAATACAAACATCTCATACGGCAACAAGTACAACGCAACCACAAGTCTACGGCGACAGCGCGACATATGGGCCTCCCAGGGGGGGCCCCAAGTCTGCTCTAAATGCCACTACCCTCGATACTCGACCTCGCGGGGCGGCTCACACCGGCGGACCAGCATTACGCCCGCCGTCCTCTCTCTGCACGAGCGCGCGAAGATCTTCCAGCAGGCAGACCACGGCCCGCTCCAGCGCGCGGAACACTGACACGGTCCCATCGACGACTTCTACAGCTCGCTCTCCCCGAAGCTTGTCCTCCAGATCCGCCAGGGCGACGGCGGGTCCAAACGGTATCGGTGCTCCCTGAGCGAGCCCGGGCCACGCTGGGGCCAGCGCTTCCCTCGCCGCCGCCGCCGCCTGCGACAGACACGCCGCCAGCTGGCTCTACGACAGCAAGCCCTCCTGGTGGGGCCGGCCGAGTGCGTACGCCGTCACCTCCACCACCGTCGTCAGCCGCGCCAGGCAGTCCCTCGAGCAGCCCAGTCGCCGCACCGTCTCCAGCACTGACGCCTGCACCAGAGCTTCCGCGGACGGCTGCCCGCTCTCCGCCTGACCAGCGCGGTCGCCCGTGCGCTGGCGCTTGCGCCTCTGATCGCCTGCCGTCAACCCCGAGTCGTCGTCCCACCGATCGGTGTCCCCTTGCGTGCCGTTCCCCGCCAGATCCCCGGCTCCGCCAGGCGGCGGAGGAGCATGCCATGCCGGCGGCAGCACTGGAACCGCGGGCGGGGGAGCCGGTCGCGGAGGCGGCGGTGGCGGAGGCGGGGGGGCAGCCACCGGAGGAACCCCCCTCCACCATCACAGGGGGTGCGCCATCCGGATCGGGCACCCACGGCGGCTCCGCGCGATACAGCGGCGCCGGTACAGCACCCGCCTGCGGTGGCTAGGTCGGGGGACGACTCGCCACTGGAGGGGCAACGGGCGGCGCAGTTCCTGCGGCCGCTGGAGTTGGGGCCGCCGGCCCTGCCAGTGCCCGCATCACCGCCGGCACTCGGGCGAGCACCCGCGCCACCACTTCGTCGACGTCCAGGGAGCGCGCGACAGAGCCCTGCCACGGAGCCTGCGGGGCGACCTGCCTCGTGCGCGAGGGCCTCCGCAAGCCTTGTCGACGAGCGTCCCGCGCCGGCTGCGGGCGGGGGGGACTCGCCCACTAGGGCGTCTGCAAGCGGTACCAGTGCTCCGGGGACCGCGCGTACCAACGCTCCTGCGTCCCCCGCCCGTACCCCCGCTCGGGGGAGCGCCCACGTCCCAGGGATCGTGAGGATGCCATCGGAACGAGGAGCGCGCTGGTGGACGCCCCAGAGCCGCGCTCAGCGGGCGGCGCAAGGGAGCACTGCCTCGACACCCGGGGTTCGTGGAAGAGGACGGCACGGACGCGGTCGGGGAAATGGTCGGGGCGGCGTGAGCGGAACGTTCGTCCAAACGGTGCGGCACCGGCTGGCGGAGCTCGCCCCTGAAGGAGGGGCGCATGCGAGGGAGGCGGCTGGGCAGGACGGCGAAAATCGGCTAAGGGAGGAGGGCACAGCCCAGGAGCAGGACACTGCTGTGAGTGAGGAGCGGGGTCGGGGTGACTCTAGTTGTAGCCCATCTCGCGAGGGCAATCTGAGTCTGTGTCTGTGGAGAACAGTGTGGGGGAAACAGGGGGTCCACCAAGGCGGAGGGGCCGAGCCGCGCTGCGCCGAGCCAAGGGCATCCGGACATTGAGGATTTCCCCAATCCGAATTCACAATTTCTGTCCCTCGAGGCGCTGGCGGCCCGGGAGGACCTTTTTGCCACGATTTCCGATTGGGACATCACCTCCCTTCGCGACTCTCGCCAACCACCCCTCGCCCGCCACGCACCCCGCCACATCCGCGATACTTTCGCCACCTGCCTCCTCACCCCCCTGCTCCGATTGGCCGACGACCTGGACTCTGTGCCAGGCTGGCGCCTGCTGGTTTTCCTCCCCCGTCTCACTATCCGAGTTGGTGCCAGGCGGAAACCTGATTGGGAGGCAGTCCAACGCTGCCTGGATTCAATTCGGCGGGGATCCTGGGCAGATCTTTACACCGAGGCTGTTGCAGCCATCGACCTTCCACCACCCCCGCGCCACGCTTCGGACAGGATCGGAATCCTGTCTCGCGCCGAGGGCTTAGCTAAGCGCGGGAATCTTGGGAAAGCTCTCCAGGCGCTTGAAGCTACCCCGGTCAGCCCACCATCTGCTGAGACTCTCTCCGCCCTCCACTCCCGCCATCCTCTCTCGTCCCTCACTATCCCAGATTGGGTGCTCTCTCACACCCTCGAGCACAAGCCCACAGTGCAAAATCCTTCAGACACCTCCTCCCCAAGCTCCCGAACAGCGTCGGTGTGGGCCCCTCGGGTACCTCCTTTGAGCTGCTACGTGACGCGGCGCTGACCAACTCCGATATCTGCCGCCACCTACTCACCGTCACCAACGTGGCCCTCGCTGGCTCACTCTGCGCGAGGCGGGGGAGCTGCTTACAGCCTCTCGGCTGCTCGCCTTCACGAAGCCCGGAGGAGGCACGCGTCCCATCGCGGTTGGCGAGTGCCTCCACCGCGTCTTCGCGAAGGCGGCGCTCTTCCTCTCCAACAGCCCTGCGCAACTCCACTTTGCCCCCATCCAGTTTGGGGTGGCCATCCCCGGTGGCGCGGAAGCCATCATCCACAATCCCCGCGCTTACCTTGACGTAAACACCGGCCACATCGCTCTCCAGATTGACATTTCCAACGCATTTAATGCTGTGGAGCGCGTTGCCGTCTTCGACAGGGCTCCGGGGATCCCCCCTGGAGTTCCTGATTCCCTTCACCCGCTTTTCCTACAGCCGCCCCTCTGCTCTCCTCCTCGACCATGCCTTCGCCGCGGCCCTGCAGCCATCTCTCCGCACAACCGCCGCTGCCCACCCTGAGGTAGTCGTCCTTGCTTACACGGACGACATTACCCTCCTGGGGCCGGCTGACGCTTGCACCGCGGCCTTCAACCACCTCGGCCTTCAACCACCTTACCTGCGCCATAGCAAGCTGCGTCCTGCAGCACAACCCCGCGAAGTGCGAAGCCTGGGGTCCACAGGCGGTGGACCCCTCGGCGATCCCGCCGGCAATCGCCACCGGCGCCGCTTGCCTCCGCGTCCTCGGCAGCCCCGTGGGCCCCCCCGCTGCCTGCACCATCGCTATTCGTGACCGCCTCTCCGCCGCAGCTGCCCCGCTGCCTCTCATCACCAACCTCGACCCCCAGCTGGCGCTCCTCCTCCTCACACGGTGCCTCGCCCGCCGCGCCAGCTACCTCCTCCGCTCGACCCCCCCTGACTCCCTCCCCGCTGGGGAGTGGGCCGGTTGGGAGGAGCGCCTCTTCCGCATCGCGCTGGACGCCTGCCGCCTGCCCCTCCCCCGCGCCCGCACCGAGAAGCGGAGGGTGTGGGAGCAGGTGTCGCTCCCCACTACACTTGGGGGCCTTGGGATCTCCAACCCCGCCGTCGAGGCGGGCACGGCGTACCTCACCTCAACCACCGCAACTACGCACCTGCTGTGCGGACTGCTGCCTGTGCTCCCCATTGCGGTGTCCAGCCTCCTTTTGCTCTTCGACCCCGACCCCGCCGCCGCCGCCGCCCCACTCCCGCGCAGGCTTGCTGCGCTGGAGGCTGCCCTGCCGCAGCACGCAGCTGAGCTGGGGCGGAGTGCCCCGGACCCGCCCAAGCTCCAGAGCGCTCTCGCTCTGCACGTCCAGGCGGAGCGCTTTACTGCCCTCCTGGAAGCCACCCGCAATCTCCCTCTGAACCCGCTCCAGGGGCACACTCAGCGCCTCCTGTCCCTCATGGGGCCGGGGGCGGGGGACTGGCTCCACGCCATCCCGCTCTCCTCATCACTCCTCATCGCTGCGAAGAAGCGCCTTGGGGCTGCCCCCGACTCTAGGGAGGCGGCCAAGCTGCTCCATGAGTACCGCCAGCGGTGGGCGGTGACTCTCCAGCGCGGGCAGGCCGTGGCCCTCAATACCAAGTCCAACCTGGCCCTCGCCGCGGAGGAGTGGCCCCTGGGCGATGCCGCTGACCCACTCCCTGTGGGGGACCTTCTCCAGGTCTTGGAGCCGGCGCTCAGGGACTCCTAGGGACCTAGGCTCGTACCTTAGGTGTGTCTTGTGCTTGCCTTATCTGTGCCTTACCTTCCACTGCCTGTACCCCTTCCTATCTAATACAAAGGACGAATTCAGGAGGTAAAGGGGAGGACGGGAAAAGGGAAAGAGAGCAGGGGAGGAACGGAAAGGGGAGAAATGTGAAAGAGAAGAAAGGGGAGTGTTGAGCTGAGCAGGATGTTTTTGTTGTTGGCGAGAGAGCTTGTAAGGCCCCTGCTGTCCCCTTGAGTTCCTACTTTACTCCACTCGCTGATTTGGAGAGGGGCTTGAGGCACCTTAAAAAAAGAGGTAGAAAGGTCTTCTGCAGTTGCTGTGAAACCCTTCGTGAGCTCCAGTGGCTGATTCGGAGAGGGGGGAGAGAACGACGGTGCGGGAGAGAGGGGTAGAGAGAGCGCAGGCGCTGTGGATGCAGGAACGTCTGACCGTCCTCCCTCCTTTACACCACACTCGACCGCACTCCACCACACTCTACCTGCACACCCGTCCGCCACCCTAGAACTGCAAGCACACGCGCCACACCACGAGTACCAGCTATTCCTTGAGCACCGGCGCATCCTTGAGCAGTGTGCCGCGCATGTCCAGTTGCCTTGGGCCTTGGCTGCAGGAGCATCTGCCCTCTCCTCTCCACCGCGCTTTACCCGCACGCCGCCATGAAGCCCACACCATCACACCCTACCAGCAAAGACACGCGGTTGAGTAGACTCCCTGGCACGTGCAGGTGCCACGGCTGCAGGGACCACTGCCTGGCCTTCCGCCTCTCCACCACACTCCACTTGCGCACTCCACTTGCACAATCGCGCACTAACAGAACGAGTTGCTCGTTGCTCATACCACGTGCACACTCCACTCGTTGAGAAAAGGGTCAGTCAGGCATTCCAGTCCAGGACTCCTGAGTCGACTCAAAAGTCACCAGGACTCCAGGTGGCGCAGCTGCAGGAACGCTTTGCCAGTCGACACAAGCTGTCATGCGAGCGGCAATAACACACCAGCTGCATACACACACCAGCAGAGAGGTGTCGTTGAGGAGAACATCGGGCACGCACGTCCAGGTGCCGCTGTTGAAGGAATGAGCCCCCCCCTCTACGGCACGTTGCCTGCACGCCATCACGATGAGCCCTACACCATGACACCACACCCTACCAGCAGCGAGGCGTCGTTGAGCAGGGAGTCAGGCACGTCCAGGTGCCGCGGCTGCAGGAAAGTCTGCAGCGCCGCAATGCGCGTGGTGAGGCGGCGGTCGCGCTCCACCTCCTCTTCCTCCGGGGCGAACGCACGCGGGAACAGCTTCGTCATCAGGTACTTCTCCAGCGCCTGCCGTGGTGGGGAGCGGGGGGAGGGGGGGGGGGGTTGAGTGGGTGGGTAGGGAGGCGAAAAGGAGAGGGGGGGAGGGGGAGAAGGGGTGAGGAATGGGCGAGGGGGGGTGGGTGATGGTACGTTTCACACTAAGCATTGGTTGGAGAGTGGTGGTGGGTGCAGGGGGAAGGTCGGCCTCCACCTCCTCCTCCTCCTCGGGGGCGAACGCACGCGGGAACAGCTTTGTCATCAGGTGCTTCTCCAGTGCCTGCCGAGGGGAGGTTCGGGTGGAGGTGGGAGGAGGGGGGTGTGGGGTGTGTGTGCGTTGGGGGGCGAGGAGGGGGAGATGGGGATGTGTGGACGGGGATGTGTGGACGGGGATGTGTGGACGGGGTGTGTGTGCAAATGATGGCGGGGACATGTGGGGTTGATACATGCGGAGATACATGCGGAAAGGGCTTTGTCATCAGGTACTTCCCTAGCGCCTGCAGTGGGGAGGTTCAGGTGGGGGTGGACGAAAAGGGGGGGTGTGGGGAGAGGGGGGTGGAGGAGGAGGGGAAGACGGGTGGCTGTGATGGTGGGGATGCGTGTGTGTGGAGTCGATGCATGTGGGAACAGCTTCGTCATCGGATACTTTTCCAGCGTCTGCGGTGAGGGAGGGGGTAGAGGGGGGAGGAAGGGCACTGATGATGGGAGGAAGGGTGCGGATGAGGGGAGGGGGGAGGAAGGGGGAGGAAGGGCGCGGATGAGGGGAGGGGGGAGGGGCAACAGCTTCGTCATCAGATGCTTCGTCTCTGCAGCGCCTGGGGTGGGGAGTTGGTTGGTTGGAAGGGTAGAAAAAGGGAGGGGAAGCGACGGAGCGTGGGGTGTGGGGAGAAGGGGTGGAGGAATGGGGAGTGGGGTGGGTGAGAGGGGGATGGGAGAATGAGGACGGAGAAGAAAGCACCCACGCACGCACGCAGACACGCGAACGCACACACACACACACACACACACACACACACACACACGCACACTCTTCCCATTCCCAAACCTCCCCTCCCGCACCTCCCCTCCTGCACCTCCCCTCCCGCACCTCCCCTGGCGCTCCGTCGCCTCTTCAGAATCTCTCTCGTGTTGCTGGTGAATGCTCAGAACTCCCAAGAATCACGTCTTCAGAAGCCTGCTCACCCTTCCTCTCTAAATCCACACCATCCCCCCTCCAACCCACCCACCCCATCCCCTCCCACCTCCCACCCACCACGCTCACCCGTCCACCCTCCACCCGTCACCTCCCCCCGCACCACTCCCCCCTCACCTCTCCCCAGCACTCGAGCTTGTCCTCACTGGCGCCCTGCCAGAGCGGGTGCGAGCGGAAGGCAGCCGAAAGTCTGCAACCCCCCCATCCTCACCCCCCCTCCCAACCCCCCAACCCTGTACCCTCACCTCTCCCGAGCACTCGAGCTCGTCCTCGGAGGCGCCCTGCCAGAGCGGGTGCGAGCGGAAGGCGGCCTCGATGCTGCGGTAGAACGCCTGCACGCTCGCACTGTCGCGCTCGGGCTCGGGGTCCTTGGCCATAAACGCCATCATGAAACTGCAGCGTGGGAAGAGAGGGGGGGAGAGGAGGTGGGGGGGGGGGGGGGGGAAGAGGAAGGTAAGGATATGCGAACTGATGCTCGCACTGTCGCGCTCGGGCTCGGGGTCCTTGGCCAAAAACGCCATCATGAAACTGCGGAATGGCAGGGGGAGGGGAGAGGAAGGGAAGGATATGCGAAGTGATGCTCGCACTGTCGCAGTCAGGCTCAGGCTCCGTGCCTGACCGCCTGGCTGACTGACTGACCGGCTGGCTTACTGACTAACTGACCGACTGACCGACTGACCGACTGACTGACTGACTGACTGACCGACCGACCGACCGACCGACCAACCAACCGACCCCGACCAACCGACCGACCGACCGACTGACTGACTGACTGACTGACTGACTGACTGACTGACTGACTGGTTCGCTCGTGGAAGACAATCCGGCAGCCGCCAGAAACAGAGGCAGCGACAGCGAGAGCGAAACAGCCGTTCCCGGGCCGGCTCACTTGCGGATGGGCCTGACGAGATCTGCCGCGGCGGGCTGCTTCATCCGCTCCAGAAAGTCGTGGAAAGTCAACGCCGTCGTCGCCGCCGTCAGGCTGTCGCCTTCCCCCCTCCCCGCGCCCCCCCCTGACCCCACCACCATGCCATCGCTGGCCATGGCGCACGGCGGGCCTCACTCTCCCCGGCCAATTTTGATATAAGGTTAGACGCGCGATAAGGTTTTGTCAGGCGCCACGGACGCCGAGGGACATAACGAAAGGTAGAGAAAAGAGAGAAACCAGGAGGCAGTTGGAGAGAAAGAGTGCGGGAGGCGGAGATTGGATACGAAGGGGCCGCGCCGACGGCAGAGGCAGTGAGGAGCTATCTATGGCGTGGCTGTTTTTGGGTTGCGTAGCAACCCTATACAATCATTTTTGTAAGGAATTCTGATTCCTTACTGGGGCTCGCCACAGCGAGTACTCGCAAACCTCTCGGTTCCGCAGGCTTGGCATTTGGTTCTCGCGTTAAAGCCCAGGTCCCAAATTAGCAAGGTTGACCATCAAACTGGGCCCAGTTTGATGTGGTTCGGGTTGGTAACCCAATCCACCCTCACCCAGACCGGGAAAATGCCGAGGGGCTAACCACCCCTTTTCGCACAAGAACATGCCACCTCCCCTGACAAACCAGCCAGCCAGGGACGGAAATAGCGTGGGCCCAGTTTGATGGTAATTTGGGACGAGGAGGTAGACAGATCCCACAAGGTCCACCCATTTATGTCGGGGAGTTAGGAGCAAAGCGCGTACTTCCAGATATGGACGAAAAAGCCAAGACAAGTCTCAGGTGATGAATTGACTCTGTCGCAAGTGAGGCATCAGAATAGGGTTTAGGGTGATGCGAGAGGATAATGACAAGGCAAGAGGCGAGCGGCTCTCGCTGGAGGAGAGGCGACGCGATAGGAGAGGCTTTGCGGTAGGAGAGAGGGGACGCGAAGGAATGTAGCGACTCGAAAAGAGAGAGGCCTCGCGGTAGGATAGAGTGAGATGAGGCGAGGGGAGAGATGTGAGCTGAGAGGAGAGAAGTAAGGCGTGAGGAGACAGACGACGCGGGAGGACAGAGGCGACGCAAGAGGAGATGGGCGGATCGAAATTCGAGAGGCGACGCCAGAGGAAATAGCGACACGTGGTGAGAAGAGAGAGGTAAGGCGAGAGGACAGGCGATGCGTGAGGAGACAGTCGACGCGGGAGGACAGAGGCTAGGCAAGGATAGAGGCTAGGCGAGACGAGAGCGGCGACGAGACAGGGGAGAGACGATGCGAGAGGAGAGGAGCGAGGCGTATGGTAGAGGCATGGCGAGAGAAGTGAGCAACACGCGAAAGGCACGGGCTAGACATGGCTGAAAGCGGCGGCGCGAGAGGAGGTAGGCGAGGAGAGGGGATAAAGGCGAGGAGGGAGGAGAGAGATGGCGGGAGGTGAGACAGGAGACGCGGGAGGAGAGAGGTGGCGGGAGAGGAGAGAGGCGCCTAAAGAGAGGAGAGCGGCGAGGGGGGATGAGGGGAAGCACCGCGAGATAGGAGGCGGGTTGAGAAGGGGAGCAATGCAACATACGAAGAGAAGTGGGAGGGGGAGCCACGCGGGATAAGAAGCGTGGCAGAGAGGGGAGGCGTGGCGGAGAGGGGAGGCGAGGCAGAGAGGGGAGGCGAGGCTGAGAGGGGAGGCGAGGCGGAGAGGGGAGGCGAGGCAGAGAGGGGAGGCGAGGCGGAGAGGGGAGGCGAGGCGGAGAGGGGAGGCAAGGCGGAGAGGGGAGGCGAGGCTGAGAGGGGAGGCGAGGTAGAGAGGGGAGGCGAGGCGGAGAGGGGAGGCGTGGCGGAGAGGGGAGGCGAGGCAGAGAGGGGAGGCGAGGCTGAGAGGGGAGGCGAGGCGGAGAGGGGAGGCGAGGCTGAGAGGGGAGGCGAGGCAGAAGGGGAGGCGTGGCGGAGAGGGGTGGCGAGGTGGGGAGGGGAGGCGAGGCGTAGAGGGGAGGCGAGGCAGAGAGGGGAGGCGAGGCGGAGAGAGGAGGCGAGGCGGAGAGGGGAGGCGAGGCAGAGAGGGGAGGCGAGGCAGAGAGGGGAGGCGAGGCGGAGAGGGGAGGCGTGGCGGAGAGGGGAGGCGAGGCAGAGAGGGGAGGCGAGGCTGAGAGGGGAGGCGAGGCAGAGAGGGGAGGCGAGGCTGAGAGGGGAGGCGAGGCGGAGAGGGGAGGCGAGGCAGAGAGGGGAGGCGAGGCTGAGAGGGGAGGCGAGGCGGAGAGGGGAGGCGAGGCAGAGAGGGGAGGCGAGGCGGAGAGGGGAGGCGAGGCGGAGAGGGGAGGCAAGGCGGAGAGGGGAGGCGAGGCTGAGAGGGGAGGCGAGGCAGAGAGGGGAGGCGAGGCGGAGAGGGGAGGCGTGGCGGAGAGGGGAGGCGAGGCAGAGAGGGGAGGCGAGGCTGAGAGGGGAGGCGAGGCGGAGAGGGGAGGCGAGGCTGAGAGGGGAGGCGAGGCAGAAGGGGGAGGCGTGGCGGAGAGGGGTGGCGAGGTGGGGAGGGGAGGCGAGGCGTAGAGGGGAGGCGAGGCTGAGAGGGGAGGCGAGGCGGAGAGGGGAGGTGTGGCGGAGAGGGGAGGCGAGGCAGAAGGGGGAGGCGTGGCGGAGAGGCGTGGCGAGGTGGGGAGGGGAGGCGAGGCAGAGAGGAGAGGCGAGGCAGAGAGGGGGGGCGAGGCAGAGAGGGGAGGCGAGGCAGAGAGGGGGGGCGAGTCGGAGAGGGGAGGCAAGCAGAGGGGGGAGGCGAGGCTGAGAGGGGAGGCGAGGCGGAGAGGGGAGGCGAGGCGGAGAGGGGAGGCGAGGCAGACAGGGGAGGCAAGGCGGAGAGGGGAGGCGTGGCGGAGAGGGGAGGCGAGGTGGAGAGGGGAGGCAAGGCAGAGAGGGGAGGCGAGGCTTAGAGGGGAGGCGAGGCAGAGAGTGGAGGGGGGGCGAGTCAGAGAGGGGAGGCGAGGCGAAGAGGGGAGGCAAGGCAGAGAGGGGAGGCGTGGCGGAGAGGGGAGGCGAGGCGGAGGGGGAGGCGAGGCAGAGAGGGGAGGCGAGGCGGAGAGGGGAGGTGAGGCAGAAAGGGGAGGGTGGTTAGCGTACAGGGACAGAGGGGAAGCAAGGAGGGCTAGTGCATGGGGCGAGAGGGGACGGCGGGGTGGTTAGCGCACAGGGACAGAGGGCCAGCATGGAGGATTAATGCACCAGGGGGAGAGGGGAAGTCTGGGTGGTTAGCGCTCAGGGAAAGAGGGGCAGCAAGGGGGGTTACTGCACAGGGTGAGAAGGGAAGGCAGAGTGGTTAGCGTACAGGGACAGAGGGGCAGCAAGGAGGGTTAGAGCACGGGGTGAGAGGGGAAGGCAGGGTGGTTAGCGCACAGGGACAGAGGGGCGGCATGGTGGGTCATGGTATGGGGTGATAACTAAGGGTTATGGGATAAAGGCGACACGAGTTTCCCACAAAGACCCACCCATCTCCCCCTCACCACTGCCCCCCCCCCCCCCCCCCCCTCTTCTACGTCTCCATATCATCATGACCCGACTCCCAGTTTCGGGCACCAGGACCAGCACAATGGCGCATCGCAGCATAAACTCCCTCGGCTACGCTTTCTTTTGCGGAATGCAACGACTGGGCCTTTGTGCTCAGATTCCATCCCAAAAGCAACTACAAAAGACTATCACCGGCACATGCATGATCTAGGCAATGCAGCAAAGTGTATTTTGAGCCATCGGCCAAACCCAATGACTTTCATGTTAAAATTATATAAGTTATAATTTAATATAGGCTTGGTAGGTTGTTACTGAACCTTTCTGTAGGGGGTACAAACCCCTCCTTGTACTCCCCTCTCTTCCTAATCCAACCACCTTTCTTCTCGACATCCTCTCACCTCCTAGATCCGTTTTTCCTCACGCCATTCCATGGCGGTCTTCTTCCTAGTATCCTAGCCAACCTAGCCTCCTAAGTTTAAGAACCTTTAGTCCTAAGTTTCTAAGATTTCACTAGGTTAGTTGAGAAACTGTCAGGAGGCATCCCGCCTTGCAATATCGGCATGGAGGGAAATGAGAGCCACATCTTCTCCCACAACCCCCCACGCACAGTGCATGTTTGTAGTATTACACGTAGAATGTAACATGCTATCAAAATATGAGTAGCAAAGCTCCGAGCTAGTTGGCTGGCATTCTTGAATAATTACACCCCGGATTCAAAAAGATGCTGCAATAGGAAACCCCCACCAGAGAGGGGTGGCTGAGGGGAGCAATCCGAGACAAAACAGCACCCTGGTGAACGGGGGAGACAACCTGCAAGCCATAACGAAGCAGAGAACAAACAAGGATACTAAGACAAGAGTGGGGAACATGGATGCGATGATGACGAATCCGAGTGAAGGTGCGAAGGGGGAAGGTTCATCTGGTGCTAGTGATTACGACTCTTTGCCTGATGTGTCGAGAGGAGATGGACGACGCGGGTTAGGATAGATCCTAAGTCTGAGAGGGTAGGACAGGGTGGTTAGTGCACAGGGCCAGAGGGGAGGCAATGTTGGATAGTGCAACGGCGGGAGAGGGGAAGTCAGAGTGGTTAGCGCACAGGGTCAGAGGGGCAGCAAGGAGGGTTAGGGCACGGGGTGAGAGGGGAGGACAGGGTGGTTAGCGCACAGGGACAGAGGGGCAGCAAGGTGGGTTAGGGCACCAGGGGAAGAGGGGAAGCCAGGGTGTTTAGTGCACAGGGACAGAGGGGCAGCGAGGTGGGTTAGTGCATGGGGTGAGACGGGAAAGCACAGTGGTTAGTGCACAGGGACAAAGGGGCAGCAAGGTGGGTTAGTGCACGGGGGGGGAAGGGAAGTCAGAGTGGTCAGCGCACAGGGACAGAGGGGCAGCAAGGAGGGTTAGGGCACGGGGTGAGAGGGGAGGACAGGGTGGTTAGCGCACAGGGACAGAGGGGCAGCAAGGTGGGTTAGGGCACCAGGGGAAGAGGGGAAGCCAGGGTGTTTAGTGCACAGGGACAGAGGGGCAGCGAGGTGGGTTAGTGCATGGGGTGAGACGGGAAAGCACAGTGGTTAGTGCACAGGGACAAAGGGGCAGCAAGGTGGGGTAGTGCACGGGGGGGGAAGGGAAGTCAGAGTGGTCAGCGCACAGGGACAGTGGGGCAGCAAGGAGGGTTGGAGCACGGGGTGAGAGGGGTAGGCAGGGTTAGCTAACAGGGACAGAGGGGCAGCAGGGTGGGTTAGTGCACTGGGGGGAGAGGGGAAGCCAGGGTGGTTAGCGCTCAGGGAGAGAGGGTCAGCAAGGTGGGTAAGGGCATGGGGTGAGGGGGGAAGGTAGGGTGGTTAGCGCACAGGGACAGAGGGGCAGCAAGGTGGGTTAGTGCACCAAGGGGAGAGGGGAAGCCAGGGTGTTTAGTGCACAGGGACAGAGGGGCAGAGAGGTGGGTTAGTGCATGGGGTGAGACGGGAGAGCAGGGTGGTTAGTGCACAGGGACAAAGGGGCAGCAAGGTGGGTTAGTGCACGGGGGGAGAGGGAAAGTCAGAGTGGTCAGCGCACAGGGACAGAGGGGCAGCAAGGAGGGTTAGGGCCCGGGGTGAGAGGGGAGGACAGGGTGGTTAGCGCACAGGGACAGAGGGGTAGCAAGGTGGGTTAGGGCACCAAGGGGAGAGGGGAAGCCAGGGTGTTTAGTGCACTGGGACAGAGGGGCAGAGAGGTGGGTTAGTGCATGGGGTGAGACGGGAAAGCAGGGTGGTTAGTGCACAGGGACAAAGGGGCAGCAAGGTGGGTTAGTGCACGGGGGGAGAAGGGAAGTCAGAGTGGTCAGCGCACAGGGACAGAGGGGCAGCAAGGAGGGTTAGTGCACGGGGTGAGAGGGGAGGACAGGGTGGTTAGCGCACAGGGACAGAGGGGCAGCAAGGTGGGTTAGGGCACCAAGGGGAGAGGGGAAGCCAGGGTGTTTAGTGCACGGGGACAGAGGGGCAGAGAGGTGGGCTAGTGCATGGGGTGAGACGGGAAAGCAGGGTGGTTAGTGCACAGGGACAAAGGGGCAGCAAGGTGGGTTAGTGCACGGGGGGAGAGGGGAAGTCAGAGTGGTCAGCGCACAGGGACAGAGGGGCAGCAAGGAGGGTTAGGGCACGGGGTGAGAGGGGAGGACAGGGTGGTTAGCGCACAGGGACTGAGGGGCGGCAAGGTGGGTTAGGGCACTGGGGGGAGAGGGGAGGACAGAGTGGTTAGCGCACAGGGACAGAGGGGCGGCACGATGGGTTAGTGCACGGGGGGAGAAGGGAAGTCAGAGTGGTCAGCGCACAGGGACAGAGGGGCAGCAAGGTGGGTTGGAGCACGGGGTGAGAGGGGTAGGCAGGGATAGCGCACAGGGACAGAGGGGCAGCAGGGTGGGTTAGTGCACTGGGGGGAGAGGGGAAGCCAGGGTGGTTAGTGCACAGGGAAAGAGGGGCAGCAAGGTGGGTTAGGGCACGGGTTGAGAAGGGAGGACAGGGTGGTTAGCGCACAGGGACAGAGGGGTGGCAAGGTGGGTTAGGGCACTGGGGGGAGAGGGGAGGACAGAGTGGTTAGCGCACAGGGACAGAGGGGCGGCACGATGGGTTAGTGCACGGGGGGAGAAGGGAAGTCAGAGTGGTCAGCGCACAGGGACAGAGGGGCAGAGAGGTGGGTTAGTGCATGGGGTGAGACGGGAAAGCAGGGTGGTTAGTGCACAGGGACAAAGGGGCAGCAAGGAGGGTTAGGGCACGGGGTGAGAAGGGAGGACAGGGTGGTTAGCGCACAGGGACAGAGGGGCGGCAAGGTAGGTTAGGGCACCGGAGGGAGAGGGGAAGCCAGGGTGGTTAGTGCACGGGGGGAGAAGGGAAGTCAGAGTGGTCAGCGCACAGGGACAGAGGGGCAGCAAGGTGGTTAAGGGCATGGGGTGAGGAGGGGAGGCAGGCTGGTTAGCGCACATGGACAGAGGGGCAGCAAGGAGGGGTAGGGCACGGGGTGAGAGGAGGACACACACAGGAGGACATCGGGGATAACGGTCTACATCAGGGGGGGAACCAGCTCACCGTGCGCAGGCCGGATGAACTATGTGGAGGCCCCAAACTGGAGCAGTGTAAAGTCCCACACTCCACTGCGGTTGTGGTATTATTGTGGCATAAGGACCATGGCCCCTTTTTGTAAATAGGGGAGAGAGGGAGGCGGGTTTAGGGGGGGAGAGTCAGACAATACGTGTCGTGAAGCATGTGCATGGCAACCAGAGTTGGGACGTGCTCGCGGTTCGTTGTGCGTCAAGTCCAAGTTACAAGACATGCTAGGAGGCACGGCTCGGGTTGACGGCAACATAACGATACAACTCACCGTTTAGGCTGCGTCGTGCCCCCCGGGCCGGGGCTCGCGTCGCGCGGCTCGTATCGACTGCCGAAGATCTCAAATTGTGCACGTTGGAGCCCACTGAAATTCTGGGAGACGCAATGTCGGGAGGTGAGACTGCTGTCTGAGGTGTTGTTGTCCCCGTCTGTGCCCGAGTTGCAGGCGAACAAGTCATGGCCGCCGACGCAAGATCATCATCAGTCTGTTCCTCCGAGGGTCGCCGCCACTCGTGTAGGATGTTGTCGACCCAACACCAGTCCATCTGTGAGAGTACGACCCCGTTACACCACTTGGCCTTTTCTTATTTCCTTCCCTTTTCATTTCTCTTTTTACCGCATCTCAATTGGGTTCCTATTCTTCCTTTCCCATTAACCTTTGGTTTATCCTGCTATTATCAGTATATCACCGACCAGGCTTCCTTGCCCGCGAAAAAATTCATCGCCATCGACAGTTCGGGAGTATAGCACAGTACACGCAGCAGATGGAAGAATTTTATAACAGAATTCCCGACCTGACCGAAGGGGAAAAAGTGCAATCGTACCTCGCAGGGCTGAAGACCGAAGTCAAACGACAGGTGGCAGCGTCAAACTACGCGAGCTACAGTGACGTCGTTTCGGCTGCGGAGCGCTTCGACATGGTCAACGCCGGAACACGACGGACGCACGTCGGCAGTACGCGACAGGGCGACCGCTCGGCTCACCCCACGTTCGCCGACCCGATGGAAGTCGACAGATTCGAGGGGCGGCCACGTCCGAAAAACACCAACTACACGTGTGATTTTTGCGGGGTGCCGGGCCACCGAATCTTCGACTGCAACAAAATGAAGGCCGCACGCGCAGAGTATCGGGCACGCAACAGTGGCGGAAATCTTTCGGCCAATAAGAAGACAAAAAACGGGGGTCGCCAGTGATTGCGGATCTAGCTGGCAAAAAAGAAAAGATCCGGAAACGGCCGCGGGATTCCGGGAAAATCAACTTCGACGAAGCTGATTCGACGCGAGAAGGAGGAAATGATGGGGGAAAATCTCCACCCCACGACCAGTCTTCGCCAGGGAAAATCGCCGAGGAAAAATACGACTCCGCGAAAAAAGACTCTGCCGAGACAGGGAAACTCCTTGAAGACCCAAGAAATTATAAGAATTCGTTAAAGTTATCTTATAAAGATGCTTTAATGAAAACTTATGATGTTCGAGGGGCTAGAGCCTTGGAGAAATTTCGGGAGGGACTCCAAAAGAAGCAGACAGCTGTGGAGATTATACCGGTACCGGACAACTTGGGGACCAAATTAAGGAGTGTGGAAAGAAGCCGACCTTTCCACGGAGTCAACGTCCTCTCTCGACACCAGCCCACATCGACTACCCGTTCCCCAGGGAAGACGTCAGTGGAGCTGAAGCAGCTTAAAAGGAAGCTGGGGGTCTACAAGAAGCTGCAAAAACCCCGAGCTCCTTCTACGGATGCATCCAGTTCTTCGGCATCAATGACGCGCACAGTCGTCAAGGAAACTCCGGGCCCTAAAGAAGAGCCGTTCTCCAAGCAGCCTCGGCCAGCTGCCAGCTCAGGAGTAGACAGCAACACCAAGGTGTGTACGGAATATTGGGATGTACCCTATGACCCAATCAATGAAACTATATTTGGGTACTCCGAGCAACGCCCGCCTCTCGTGCTCGAGGTCATCTGCAAAGGACGACGCCTCCAAGCACTCGTGGACAGCGGAGCGTCACACACCGTCTGCGACAAGGCAATGATCGACCGACTTCGGGAAGAGTACAAGCCTTCAGGATTCTCTGCAACGATGGTGGACGGCAGCAAGCTACCAGTACATGGCGAAGCAGTGTTACACCTACAAATTGGACCACTGCGCTGGAGACCTGCACTCCCCATCACCAACATCAAAGGGCTTGACCTGATTTTCGGGCGAGACTTCCTGAAAAAATTCAACCCCGAGATCAACTGGGTGAACCGCACCGCAAGCATCTACAACAATGGACGGAGAGTACAGCTACCCAACTGGGACGATACTGGAGATATTCCAGTGGAGACACTCGCACGATTCGAGAAGGATGTGAAGCAGACCGACACCGGGTTCCTGGCGATAGCAACAGAGGTGGAAAATGACGGAGAGGAAGCCTCGGAAACTCCAGAAAAAATCAAGGAATTATTAAAGGAGTTCCAAGATATTCTTCCTGACGATCTTCCGAACGAGCTACCGCCATACCGAACGCATCAACACGAGATCGTGGAGGAACCGGGATCGAAGCCGACCTTCCGAGCACCATATCGGCTCAGCCCTACGGAGCTGACTGACATGAAAAAACAGATCGAGTATCTCCTAGCCAAAGGACTCATCCGGCCATCCACTTCGCCGTACGGTGCCCCAGTACTCTTCACACCGAAACCGGACGGAAGCCTGCGCATGTGCATCGACTACCGAGCTCTTAACAAGCAGACCATCAAGAACAAATATCCGATACCGCGAATCGATGACCTGCTTGACCAGCTTCGGGGAGCTACGGTATTTTCCAAACTGGATCTGCGGTCCGGATACTGGCAGATACGGATGGCGGACAACTCTATCCACAAAACTGCTTTCCGAACTCGGTACGGATCGTACGAGTATTTGGTCATGCCGTTCGGACTCACCAACGCACCAGCGACGTTCCAAGCAGAGATGAACCACATCCTACGCCCACTCTTGGACGAATGCGTGATGGTGTACCTGGACGACATCCTCATCTACTCGCGCGACATGAAGCAACACGTCGAACACCTGCGACGCGTCTTCAAAATTCTTCGACGGGAACGTTTCTACGTCAAACTGTCCAACAGCGAATTCGCCCTGGAGAAGGTCCAATTTCTAGGACACATGGTGAGCGCTCAAGGAGTTCACGTCGACCCCAAGAAAATCGAAGCCGTACGTACGTGGAAGACACCCGAGAACGTGAAGGAGTTGCAGCAGTTCCTAGGCTTCGCTAATTACTACAACAGGTTCGTGCCACAGTATGCGAAACTCGCGACACCACTCACGAATCAGCTAAAGAAGAACACGCCCTACAAGTGGGAGACGAAGCACCAGGAAGCCGTGGAGCAGCTAAAACAAGCACTGACATCCGCACCGGTGCTCATCTTGCCAGATCCCGAACGTGACTACGTCATTGAAGCAGACGCCAGTGATCAGGCCGTGGGAGCAGTCTTGATGCAAGACCAGGGGAACGGACTGCAACCAATTGCCTACCTCAGCAAGAAACTGCACGGGGCAGAACTAAACTACCCGATACAAGACAAAGAGGCCCTGGCTATCATCATCGCCTTCAAAGCGTGGAGATGCTATCTCGAAGGACGAAGAACAACCGTCTACACCGACCACTGCAGCTTGAAATATCTGAAGACACAACCAACCCTTTCCAGGCGGCACATCCGGTGGATTGACTTCCTCGAGACACACTTCCACTACGACATCATGTACAAGCCCGGCCACAAGAACAAAGCAGACGCTCTCAGGCGGCCTGCACACGTTGCCGCGATTCAGGTCGAAGGGATGAATCCACTACTCAAGGGACTCTTCACACACGGGTATACCATCGACCCCGAAATTCCCTTGGCAGAAAAGCGACATCTGCTACAGTGGGACAGTGACATCGCGTACCGGAAAAGGATCAACAAAAATCTGGGTACCCAATTACCCTCCTTTGCGCCAGTTACTACTCGAAGAATACCACGACGTCCTGTACGCCGGACACTTCGGTAGCAACAAGACGCTGACCGGTATCGCAAAGCACTACTACTGGCCTCACTTGGCAGATGATGTTCAGAAATTCGTCACCTCGTGTGATACATGTCAACGGATGAAGAGCAGTAAGCAGAAGAAAGCAGGACTGCTACAGCCTCTTCCTGTCCCACAACAGCCATGGCAAGTGGTTAGCCTGGATTTCATCACTGGGTTACCACCTACCACTCGCGGTCATGACGCAATTCTTGTCGTCATCGACAAATTCTCTAAGATGGGACACTTCATCCCGACACACACGACAGCACGCACCGAGGAGACAGCACAACTCTTCGTTCGCTACATCATCTCACAGCATGGCATTCCAACTACACTCATCTCCGACCGAGACCCCAAGTTCACCAGCAAGTTCTGGAAGGAACTTATGTCTCTTCTCGGGACCAAACTTATGTCATCCGCATACCATCCGCAGACAGACGGACAGACCGAGCGCCTCAACCAAATTGTTGAGCAACTCCTCCGAGCAGCCTGCAAGGACGAGATCTCCAAATGGGACTTGCACCTGCCCATACTAGAGTTTGCTTACAACAACGCCACACATGCCGCTACTGGACAGACGCCGTTCTTCCTCTGCTACGGACGCCACCCACTCACACCACAAAAACCGACAGCATCAGCTACAGTCTAACCAGCACATGATTTCATCACAACCATGCATCAACTTTGGGATCGGACCCATAAGCGCCTCCTTGACATTCAACAGCAACAGAAGCGCCAGGCCGATCGCCATCGCAACGACCACACCATTTCCGTGGGAGACCAGGTGCTCCTCGACACCCGCAACCTGGACATCAGCCATCTCCCATCTAAACTTCGACCTCGCTTCTGCGGGCCTTTTCTCGTTGAAGCACAGGTCACTCCTGTTACCTTCCGCTTACGCCTGCCAGCTCCCTGGAAGATTCACAACGCCTTCCACGTCCAACTTCTGAAGCCCTATCGGGACCCGAACACAATTTTCGTCGGACGCCAACCGCCGCCGCCACCGCCCGTCCTCGTCCAGAATGAACCCGAGTACGAGGTCGAGTCCGTGCTCGCACACCGCCGTCGTCGGAATGGCACCGTGGAGCTTCTCATCCGTTGGAAGGGTTATGATCCTTCTGAGGACAGCTGGGTACCTGAGTCCGACATGGGTAACGCCCGTCGTCCTCTGCATGACTACCTTGTCAAGCAGGGTGTTACTTCTACCACCCAGCTTTGAGGGGGGGAAGTGTGAGAGTACGACCCCGTTACACCACTTGGCCTTTTCTTATTTCCTTCCCTTTTCATTTCTCTTTTTACCGCATCTCAATTGGGTTCCTATTCTTCCTTTCCCATTAACCTTTGGTTTATCCTGCTATTATAAGTATATCACCGACCAGGCTTGGGATGTATTGGTGCGCTATATCTAGCGTAATCCTGCCGTAATCCCTTAAAGCCAATGGCCTCTCGTGGCTATACGCAGGGTGATTCTATATTCTAGAAGGGTCTATTCCTTTGGATAGGATAAACCTGGTTACCTGATGTACTCTGGAAGTATAAAAGCGCCTTGTACTGATCGATAGTGCAACCTTTCCTCGACACATTCGATCCTGTGACACCATCGGACCCAGTACCCGGTCCCTCCGTCTGCGCCGCACTCTCGTGATATGACGCACACGCGTGACAAAAGCGCGCACGATCCGGTCCATGCAATTGTTCCAATGTATTACTGCGAGAGCCACCCTCGCGTCGTAGCTTCCTTGAAACCTGTTTCTTTTTGGGGCGTACTTCAGGATGAGCGAATGAAATGACTCATTCATGGAACTCGTAGCGCCCTCCACAATGCAAGCCACCTTGGCTATACTAAAGTTCCTACGACACCAATCCCTTACTGCCAAGTGTGTAGCGGAGTTCCGCTCGTATATAGCGCACTCAGGACCCCAGTTCTCCGACACGCATTTTGGCGTTGCACCTGCCCGTGCACCACACCGTGAATGATCCCCTGCCCAGTGGTCAGCACACAGGCACAACTCCTCCGATACCTCCTCGGGAGTCGGAGTGTTCCCGTCAGCCGACCGTGCCCCGCTACGCAGCATACAATGATAAAAGTGCACGCCCAACCTGTCCGCCACGGTGTGCACCTTTTCGCCCCCCCGTGGTGCCCCGCTGTCTTCCCCACCGGCAGCCGACCCTCTACGCGTCCGTCTTCTTGGGGCTCGTCGACCCCAACGCCTGCCGCTCTGCTGCTGGGTCCCCGCTGCCGGATCCACGTTCTTGTCTGCCCCACCTCCCTGTCTGTTGTTTTCCTCTCCCTCCACATCCATGTCGCCACCGCCCATGTGGGCTTGGTTGCCTGCACGCACAAAATCAGAGCGCATGTGATTGGCCGCTCACATGAGAACCCGATCGACTGCAAGATGAACTCAATAACCGATTTGAATGATCACGCACATCCGTTCATAGCCGTTTCTCTCCACACAGAAAGCTCCACTACATATCACCTGGGTTTGTATTTGGTACTTGATCGTCTTCCATCATGAAGTGACGCCCCTCCCCGATGCCGTTCCATGCTTGGACAAGCAACATCGATGCGTGCGAGTGGGGCCGTATCCCCCGCACTGGATGGACGTCACCATCCCACAATTCCTCCACATCGGACCATCTAACCATAGCGTCCGGCATCCTCTCCGTACCCCCCTCAGCCATGCCTCCATTCCTGTCGCTTTCACTTTCCTCTGGCGCATCTCCTCCTACCGCCCCGCCCCCTGCTCCCTTGGTACTTCCCCTCGTCCCGTGTTGTTGGCTGTCCTAACTCCACTTTCCAACCTCACTACTTGTTGCAGCTCTAGGTGCAAATACTTTGCATCCGACTCCTTCATGTCTTTGAACTCAAACGCACGCAAAAGACACACTGCGCGAATGATTTCCTTTTTCCCCGCCGATCTGCTCACCCCCCCACCGCCTCGGGAAGGATGCCCTAACCACTCTAACAGTTTTTTCATTGTGATTAGATATAGATCCTCACATACGATTGCCCCGTCTACCGTGCCAGCCTTTCGGGTCGCGTCCTGCACCTTTTCCCTAAAGTTACGGACCACAGAACCACACTTATGCCACCAATCTACTTGGTGCTTCACACCTCGCTCGTTGGCGGCTCCACTATAAGTGTTTCCCTCATCCGTGACAATGCCCTCTAGCCCAAAACCACTATTCACTAACTCGTCCATGCCCTGGTTGAACGCTACCCTCTCTAGCATCACCGATGAGTCGTCATCCCTCCCTCTCCTAGTGTTTTTACACATCATGATTTTTCGGGATTCACGGTCCATGAACGACACCGTGCACCATTTGGCTTCGCGAACATTCGACCAACGACCATCGATGCACAGCCATCTTCTATTTACTGGACGCTGTGACATGCTCACCCGAACCGCTTCCATACTGCTTTTGGCCTGCTCTATGATCGCACTCCATAGACCACTATCGCCACCCATGAAGCGGTAAAATGTTCCATGGCCTGGACGTGGAACACCCAAGCTGCGACATATCTCCCAAGTTTGTTGATACCCGATTCCTGCTAGGGCAAAGGCTCCCACAAGCTTATGCATCACTGGAGGGGTTCGTGGTACAGGCTTACTCGATGGCAAATCGTCCCTTACCCTTCTGGTCGACCACATCTCATCCTTTGCAGGACAAGAATGTGCACATCCACA